TTGCAGTTTGACTAATACGATGATCCAACCATCAGACCGGTCCAAACTGATGCCTTGCAGTTTCCGCTCATTACAGATTTTGTTGAACCACAGGCTAATTACACACTAATGCTTGGACTCAGGTTTTTGGATACTCGTATTACCACAGCGCTGTGTCAAAGTGAGAGCAGTTGGAAGCTGTATGCCAGCTGTGAGAGGCGCAATAACTGAAAAACTGCATTGGAGTGCCAGGGGAACTACAGAATAACAGACTAACAAGAGCAAAAACAAATTCAGATCCCTTTGTTTTTCTCTTTTAAATGATGTTCATTCACTGAAACATGACTGTCACTTGTTACTCCACATTTGCTCATAATTGAATACGTAATAGTTGTTTTGTCAATATTTCTTAATTATAACTGATTTGATGGGCATAAATGTCTAAACATGCAACTTGCTGTAATTACTGTTTGCTCAGATGATCTTTTTACATAATTAGGGAATGAACTCAATATGCATCACTGAAAAGCCCAGTGAGACCAACACACACCCAAATCTGAGTGATGTCAGATATCCTACAGCATTTATGCATAGGTTCCCCACCCCTGGGTACACGATGTTAACCTCACCAAAGTGGCCTGGGACTACAGGAATGCCAGGCAATAGCTGAAGGCCATGAGAAACTGGAAACTCAGTGTTTTTCTTGGCTGAGAGAGCATTGCAAGCCATAGAGAGTGCAAGGCAAGGCACTTAGATATGAGGTCCACAAGCTTATCATTTCTCTCCTTGTTCGCCCTGACCCCGGCCATCCATTTTGTTTTTATCATGCGTGATTCACTGGCATGCGTGAATTTCCTGTTCTTTGTGCTTTGACTGTATGCCTTTGTCTGGATGAACCCATAAAAATATGCATCTGCTCTCTACTAAATAGCTGCGCTTGTACTTGCCAATTCGATAAAAAAAATACTTTGTGTGGGGAAATAATGCTTTTAAACCTCATCTGCGTTATGCAGTTTGGGAATTCCCATGTGTTTCTTCAGATCGGTGTGTGTGGATGAATTGGCTCCTGTTGGTACAGTTGATCTAGGCCATGGATTTTATCCAAATATCTAACTGTAATACACCACAGTAGCAGTTGTAGGACCGGGAAAAGATCAGCTCTTGGGATGTAAAGTCTGCCAGGGAACTAAAGACGCGTGAAGGTGTTTTCTCACTCGCCGCTGAGCTCAAACCTCAGCCAAATTCAATAATATTCCATGATGCTTGGGCGGCACCGACCATCAGCTTGGCACCTGTCCACAGAAATGCCACATAGCTACCAGGGTGTATAATAGCTTAGAACATGGGAAGGGGTGGTAACTCAAATTCAGCGTGTCGTGTGTGACGAATGTGAGCTCAACTAAACATGTTTGCCAGAAATGCTGTCATAGAGAGTTGTTCATCCTTGCCCGTTTTTTTGATCCATCAGGGGAGGAGATGTACCTCCTAAAAGATCTATATTTGCAAAGGGAGGTCACTGTCACATTTGAACTGTGGGTTGCTGGATGGAATGCAGGACTCCTATCTTCTTAGTCTTTCCTTCAAATGCCATGTAATTTGACCCTTTATAGCCACTTAGCTTCAGCTAATTTAATTCTGCAGCAACTGTGGTGTGTGGTTGACCGTCCACATGGCTGAAACCACTGATCTGGTTATCACAATTTAAGGGTTTTTAAGGTCAGTCCTTCTTATTTTGTAATTTGTATCATTGATGAACAAAAAGTTTGTGGCGTACGTTGTGAGCAAACCAGAAAACAAGCCAATGAAAAGGATGTGGATGCAACTATGATCATTATCTATGTGCTTGAATGTCTTGTTTTGTATCATGGTCATATGTGGGGCCAGACAGAATCTGCAGACATTTTTTTGCTATTTATGCACAGAATTTTGTAAAAAAAATCTGCAGATTTATATGGAATGATTTTTGTGAGTATCCTAACTAAAAACTTATTATATTAATTTAAGAAATAATACCTTTTACTTTTATTTAATGCCACTTATTTGGTAAACAAAGCAAGACTCACATATAATATATCTACTAAAAGACAGAAAATATTACTTTTCAAACTGTGTTGTAAATAAATCATCTGGATATTTTCATATTAGTCAATAAAATTACTGGAAATAATTTCAAAACAGAACAAATATAAATTACACACATTTACACAAGTAAATAAACAAGCTAAAAATCTGTCAATTTCTGCATGCACAGATTCCCGTGTGGGCCTAGTGTGAGGTCAATGGGTAAAGAGTGGCTCTTCTTTTGTAGCCGTTTGGATTCAATCAACCTTATTTGCAAGTTTTAGACCCTGTACCGGGTCCGTGACGTCATTTACTTCCGCATTTTTTAAATTGTAAAGGTCCGTACTGGCCTAATACCCCATAAGTGGTTCCGTTCTCTCATCAGTTAGAATAGAATAACTCTTGCATAGATTATGATAGACTTTTTTTTCCCCTATGATTACTGACATGCAGAAACCACCAAAATTAATTACCTAGACCACATAAAACCTAAATGAGTTTAAAAAAGTGCCTCTTTTTTGGAGTGGTTTGTTATAAAACAGACAACATATACAATTATTTTAATCCCTATCAACAGTGTTTTATGAAAATTAAAATAGTTTTCTTTAAAATGCTACAAAACGTTTGCATTTACACCTCTGCATGTGGATTTGGGAAGCTTTTAAATGTAGGTAGGCAAAATCCAGGCGGAAACCCCAAAATAGCATTTGACTTTAAGAGGTTAAACTATAAAAGCAATCCAGTTTACTATACTATAGATATAGACAAGATATCTATCTCTTAAGATATAAGATATAGACAGATATAGATCAATATCCATAAATTAACAGTTATCTGTATTTTGTGATTCATGATTTGTTTTAGTTTTTCCTTGTTTATGCTTTTGAATTGCATTATGTGACCTCAATCTTTCCTCCTATGTGTTTTGATGTTGAAAAGTTTAAAAATAGCTTTTATTGACATCTTTCATTGGTTTTAAGTCATATATGTTTGGTATTGGTGTTGTAATTTGCAGTACAAAAGCCTGGTGAAAAAACTGCCAAAACTTGCTAGTTCAACATCAAAAGTTAACAGAGCAGAGATCAAGATCCTATGCTATTCATAACTGTAAATAAATAGAAAACAACCATCAATCACAAAAAGCGGAAATGGTTAATTACAGGATATTTTCACAGTGTAGTGGGATTTTTGATTACATCTGAAAGTGGATGAAAGTACATTTTAAACCAAAATTACACTTGTATTTATAGTCATCCATTTGTCGCCAGACTGACGAAAACCCATCCCAGGTGTAAACTAGACCAAGATACAATGTAAATACAGTTCAAGAGTGATGTTTCATTAAAGCTGATGTCAATATAGTGATGTTTGTTCATAAAACAATTGGTTGAATTCGTATTAATTAACAAGAAACATTTTTAAAATGGCATATACGCCTTAACTTAAGATTTACTTAGCATGCATAGATCTGGCTGCATGAATCACTTCACTTTAACATGGATTGATGATATCTTCAATCCACAGTAATAAACTTTTATGCAGTTTCCAAGTTTAATGATGTATCATCGTCCGTCTTGATCCTCACATATTTCTGTGGTTGGCTGAAAAGGGCTGCTACATTCTGACTATGCATTGGTGAGGTCTCACAGGAGTGCCAATTGCACTAAAGTGTCAAGCATTTAACAGACTGGTGGGAATGGAAACGCATAGTGCTTTGCGGTCTCTAAGTGGGGAGGTGGGGGGAGGCTTCATTTTAACAATGTCTTCTTGCAACCTCCAAAGTCTTAATGGCAACATGGCTGTTACAACCTAATGAAATGAGCTGGTTTACAGTTTAACACCACTCTTTATTAAAACCTGAGTGGGACTTTTGAGGACAACTATTGGAACATAAAGCATTTTAAACTGCAGGTTTCAAATTTAAATGCATGATTTGGCCAAGCTACGTGTTTTTACTTTGGTAAACAAGTCGGCTGGAGACTTGATTCAATTTTTTAATTTAGCTTTAAAACTGATTATGTGCTGTTTAGGTGTTTGTTTGGTATGGAGCTAGCATTTTCTTATATAAGATCTTGGTTTGATCTTCTCTGCTGTCTTGTATTTTGTTTTCGAAAGTGCTAGTTGCCAGAATTTGTTTGGTTTAACCACAACACTTATGAGAAGCTGCTCTTTGTTTAAGCCTTCCCACCGTTAAAACTACTCTAGTGTTACTCTTACCTCTTGGGAAAAAGGAATGGGCGTACAGCTCTGCCCTGCCCACATGGGCGTCACTTACAAGCCAGCCTTTTTTTTTTTTTTACTCCTTTTTGAAATAACGGATCTGCAGTAACTTCCCTGGAAGGGAAAGGACCATTCAGCTCTTTGGCCGATCACATAAACATCCCTCTATTTTCAGAAGGACATGAACCAAAACTTTATGGTCCTACATGTACACCCGCTCTTCAAAAAGAGCCATTTCACCACATGCAGTCAAAGAAATCAGGATAAAGATGCTTAACACGCTCCTCAGACACTTTCCCATCCTCTTCAGTCTCTAAACACACACATATACACCCAGCTCCACCCAAACAGAGAGCAGGATGTAGCCCGCAATTACAATCAACGGCATGTTTCCACTCCAAGTCAGAGCCCTTTGTTTTAGTTTCCCGCTAACTTTTTAACTCCCGTCTCCTCCTGAGTAAACACTTAACTGCAGGCTGTCACATCAATCATGATGGGACCCCTCCTAAGTAATACTGAGTAAAATAAAAGCCTTTATACTACGAATATCAACACTCATGCGCCTTATAATACAATTTTATAATACGAAAACATCTTTAAATGAGTCCAATTCATTCCAATAATTTCATACTATAAAAAACTGGTATATATAATAAAGTAGGAACACAAAATTGGTACAATAGTGATAACATAGTGCATGCAAGTCATGAGAATGAAATCAGAGCTTACAAAGGACTTACCGTGCAGTAAAAGCAAGCCGAACATTAAAGCCAGAGGCATGGATTTCCAGAGCTCATTCATTCTTCGCACAGCCATTCTCCTCTATGAGCGCGCTGAGGTGTGTGAGAGTGTGTGTGTGCAGGCGCTGGGGCAGGGCTCGTAGAGTTTAGGGGTTTCCTGTGCTTGAGACAGAATTGAGCGGGTCACAGGATAAAGCATGGCTTGTGCTCCAGGGGTTTTATATGGCCCCGCTCCACTCCCCCCACATCTCTCTCTCTTTCTCTCTCTCAAACCGTCGTCCTTCTCTTCTTGCAAGCAAGGCCACCTCCTTCATGTTGTGTGCTTTTGGAGAGCTGAAACTTGTATATTTGTATTTTAAGTTGTTTTTGTTTAGTCACTTAAGTTTCTATACTATATAATTGGATGGTTGTCTAGGGTGTACTTTTGTTCATGTTGTACTCTGTTAAAACATACAGGGTTCCACACAATTCCTTTATATTGTCTCAACGCAAATCTATTAAGTTAGCTTAATTGTTTATACTCATTTAAGTGGGTTGAACATAAAATAATTACGTTGTCCCAAAACAACCTTGAGAATTGGGTTGTTTCAACTCATTTTAAAATAAGCTGCTGGAACAAGCAGGAAAAGTAATTGAGTGCATTGTAAGTCACCTTTTGTTGCTCTTTAGGTGAGATGTCGGTTAGGCACAGGTGTAATTTAGTTGCACACACACATAAGCACGCGGTCTTTCGCGCTTTTGGTATATGATGCAATAATCGTTTATCTCGATTAATGGTTTTTTATAATCGTTAGAAGCCATAATCGAAATCGGATTTTCGATTAATTGCACAGCCCTAAAAAGTAGAATCCTCGCGTTTCTTGTAATACGTTACCCCCAACACTGTTTATAATATAAAGCAGTGGTCACCAAACTTGTTCCTGGAGGGCCGGTGTCCTGCAGATTTTAGCTCCAGCCCTAATCAAACACACCTGAACAAGCTAATCAAGCTCTTACTTGGTATACTTGAATCGTCCAGGCATGTGTGTTGAAGCAAGTTGGAGCTAAACCCTGCAGGGACACCGGCCCTCCAGGACCGAGATTGGTGACCCCTGATATAAAGCATATAAAAATCAGGCCCAGTTATACTTACAATATTATACTAGTTATATATATATATATATATATATATATATATATATATATATATATATATATATATATATATACATACATATATATAATAATTTTTACTGACTTTACTTTTATTTTATTTTATTGGTGTTTTTGTGCAGATATACCAATATTTCCCTTTAAAAAAATCTTTTTTTTTTTTTTTTTTGCTTGTTTGATTCACATTATACATTGTAAGTTGACAACAGGTAAAAAAAAAAAAGAATTCTTGCTGCATCACTTACTGTGGCTTTATATCAAAACATTATTAAATATTTTTATATAACACATTTTTGAAAAATATATTTTAATGTTACATATGTGTTATTCAGCACCTATTTTACCTCTTTTACAAGATGTAAGATAAGCCTTTGGTGTCTCCAGAATGTGTCTGTGAAGTTTTAGATCAAAACACCCACCAAATAAGTTATTATAGCCTCCAGAATCTGCCCATTTTAGTGTCTGAATGCATATCTGTTTTTGTAGCCTTTGGCTTTAAATGCAAATGAGCTGCTTCTCCTCGCCCACTTTTCCCACTTGCATCTCATCATGTGTTATGTCAAATAAACAGCAAAGTGACAGAGATGAAGCTGAAATACAGCTCATTAGTCAAAAATACCAAGTAAGTTAATTTGATGTAATTGTGATGGAGTTTTTTTTTCAAGCCTTTCTGAAATGATGAGTCTAACACAAATCCCATTTGCAGTACACACACACAAACACACATATTAACGTTAACTGACACCATGCGGCCATGATGATTATAGCAGTTAAGAATTACATAGCATTTTATTATTAGAATTAGAATTAATAGAATTTTACTTTCTTTATTACAAACTTTTTAAACTTATAAAACGTATAAAAATCACAGTGAGTTCTAACAAATATTTTAATCCCAGTTTATTTGCAAAAAAAAAAGTGGACTTGTGTATACATGTTATTATACAAACCTGGCACCTGTCGATCAATTCAGTTGGCAGGGAAAACCGCACTCATACTTCACGTTGCAGCGGGCCTCAAAAAGGATTTGGGTCCTATTTTAACGTCAGGAAATTTTGAAACAGAGACTTGTTGGGTTTTTATCACTCCAATATGACAGTGGACACACTATACCTGCACACAGTTCTGTTCAAACAACTTCCAAAAGTTGATTTTCATCATTGGTGCCCTTTAATGTCAGCTAATTTTATCAGTTATTATTGTTTAAATTAATGATCATTTGTATTGTTAGGCAATTTTACAGAAAAATAATTATTTGTATGGTATGTGCCTTGGTCTAAATAGATTATAAATCTCTTTTTAAATATATTTAGCATGTCTGATTTGATCTCCATATTTCTGTTTTCAGTATTGCACCAGGATTTATGAACCATTATGTCCTTTCTTTTCTTCTCTGCAGACTATATACTGTGTTCATAACTGATCAGCTTGTGAAAGCAAATGCCGTCATGCACTCTGGATTTGTGTGTTCCTGGACCAATGAGTAATACATTGAGTCATCTTTAACCCTTAACCACCCAAAATATACCAACACAAACACACACAAAATAAGGAAAATGAATAACAAAAGGCAAGCCGACATGCACGTGCATCTAAACCTCACGCAAGTCCATTTCCCCTGGTCAAACTTTCATTTCTCCTCGGTGCGACTGGGCGGGAATCGTTCGCATGTATCTGTGTGTTGGCGCCGCATGGAGAACATCTGGAAACAGTGCAGTGTGAGCAGCTTTGTGTGTTCTTGGGGACTGCTCGCAAAATTACTTGTCAAACATTTTGGCCAGATGGGGGAGAGAGCGGAGAACATGTGTCCCTCCCTCCCACCGCCTGGTTTCTTAGTTTCCCTCCTTTTTTTGAGGTGAGGGAAGTTGGGTGAAACTCTCACTGTAGCCCCCTTTTGACCTCTTCATTTCAGGCATGAAACCAAGACTCTCACACACGCTAGCAACATGGATTTCCTTTTTCTCTTTTCTGTCAATTTTTTGACTGATAGGCCCAGGCGCGCAACATCCACCTGGGCTGTTCAGTTTCTGGCTAGCATTGGTGGGTGGAGTGGGAGCGCTAACACTAGAGTGTGAGGAGACTCGGACGGGACAGCCAAGACTCCACATGTGGAACCGCATGTAACCTGAGCTGTTCTTTTGCCCAGCATTGAACAAGACGCTCCAGTTACAAACAGCCAACAGCGGCCCTTGAAAGTAGCATCCGTTGCACTGTACAAAAAGAACAAATCTGTAAATTAATTCCTGTGGCTGTGGTTTTGTAATGCAAGATGATTCAGGCACTTAGCGTGACCATAACTCACAGGAAAACTCATCTGTTTTCTGCTTCATAGTCGATGTTTTTTTTTTATTCTTATGCAGACGGATGAAAAATGAACACGCTTGTGCTTTTGAGGGACGTTTAAGAAGCCATTTAGTGTGTGCATTTATCAAAAGTAACAAAGTACTTATTACATTCACTGTGGATCCAAAGAAAAATATTAACTGAAATGTACATTATCATGTTATGAGAGAAACTTTTGCTTAAAGGGTTTGTTCACCCCAAAATGAAAATCCTGTCATCATTTACTCACCCTCATGTCATCCCAAATTAGATGGGTTTTTTTTTAAACTAGAGAATGCAGATGAAGATGTTTTTAGCTAATCTGAATGATTCCTGTCAAGCATGCATATAGTTTTTTTACTTAAATTTCAAACATTTTTCTTGGAACGGCTCTTCAAAACGGGTTTAACAAAACATGTACAAATGATAAGTTTTCTCTCTATTTTAATTAACTTTTCTATTAATCCACAAATTTCCAAACTGTTATGCCTGGTCAAATGTGATTCCTAAGTGATGTTTCGCCTGAGAAGTTGCAAATACACACATTGCAATACGGACGTAGTATTTGTTTTTGTTTTTTTTTAATAATTATTTTTTCACCTTTATTTGGATAGGAAAGTAGAGAGAGTTAACAGGAAAGCATGGGGAGCAGAGAGAGAGGAAGGATCAGCTTAGGAATCGAACTCGGGTCGCCGTGAGCACCGGAGTGCATGTGTCGACGCACCAACCACTACACCACTGGCGCAGACGGATGTAGTATTTGTGACGTCACCCATAGGTTTCCGAAGAGAATGCAGATGAAGATGAATGAAGCTACAAGTGAGTGTGGCCAACCATCACCATTTTGTTCGCCTGTCATTGAGTCAACTGGGGGTAACCAAAAAGAGCAAAGAGGCGGAGCTGTAGATGCCTGCTAGCATTTTGCTTAGACGGCAAAAAAATTATTTGGGAGAAATGCTTAATACTTCATTAACTGAGACTTGTGCATTAACTGACCACATGTGCTTGGCTGTGTACTATATCAATAAAGTATTTAGACTTTTAAAAACACTGTAATACATTGAGCCTGTAAGTATTGTAAGCGACTACTAAATTTTACACAGTAAAAAATCTTGCTGCATTATTTTAGGTGAATCCAAAAAACTTTTCTAGTCGTCTCAACTTGCGCCAATCCACCTGACTAAACCGTATCACTTTAAAATGTAGGTGGAACCTGATTTACTGATTAAAATAAGTTAAAGTAACACATTTATCATGACTTTTGTACAATTTACAGTATGTAATCATTCTCTTCTTCTTCCTGGATCAAATTGAAGCATCTTAGAAGTATAATAATACTTCTATTTACCAGTTCTGGTCTTCAGCCATTACGGCGCACCAGACTTGCATAAATAACTTGTTGGGGAGATAAAACTGACAAGTTCTCTCATTTCCTGTTTGTGCCCTTTCCTGCTTCCTGTCATTTTCCTGTTTATGGAATGTGTCATTTTAGGTTACATAACATGAAAACAATGGACTTGGGTGTACATTATCGGCCCTGATTGACAATTCTGGTCCCTAAAAAGATCTTCAGGGTTCTTTAAATAATAATAATAATAATAATTATATATATATATATATATATATATATATATATATATATATATATATATATATATATATATATATATTTTTTTTTTTTTTTTTTTAAGTAATATTAAGACATTACAAGTCCATCTTTAAATATAGTTGTAAATAATAACAAATCATTCAAAAAACTAGTTTAAGGCTTTAAAATAATTTATTTAATAATTAATTAATATTTTTTG